GACAAGATCCTACATGATTTTACTCCATGATTTTTCTGCTTTTAATGCTGGACTGCAAAGTAGGTTTGAACCGCAAGGTCAGAGGTTCAAGCTCATCTGCTGCTCCTTGGAAATCCTATACAAGGTAACTACAGGTTGAAACTGACTCATCGGCTCGTAACAAAATATCTCCCAGTCACTCATTCTTCCCAAGCCACATTGTTCCTGACACATAGCAAGTGAGTCCATAGCAAGTGAGTCGTTGATTACTGGTTTTCTTTTAGCTTGGTGATGGTGTGCGGTGGAGTCAGTTCTAAGTCATTAGCGATCCTTTATAGGATTTCCAAAGGAGCTCTGGTAGCGTAGTGGTTACAAATCGGGCTGTGAACGGCAAAGTAAGCAGTTCGAAACTACCAGCTGTTCCATGGGAGAAAGATGAAGCTTTCTGCTCTGTTAAAGAGTTACAGCCTCGGAAACCCTATGCAGGGTCTCTGTGAATTAACCGACTCCATGGCACACAACAACAACAACAACAGGTTTTCCAAGGCTGTAACTCCTTCTAGGAGCAGAAAGCCTCATCTTTCTCCCGCATAACGGCTGGTAGTTTCGAACTGCTGACCTTGAGATTAGCAGCCAGACTCGTAATTACCACACTATCAGAGCTCCTTTTATCTTAGAATGGTCATTTTCACCTCCTTCAGGTCTGTATTGAAATGTCGCTATCACAGAGATGCTTTCCTTTACTCTATTTAAAATTCTGTGTTATCCACTACTGTGCACTAAGGTCGTTTACCTTTTCTTTACTATTTATTATACCCTATGCGTGACACTGTGGGATGCAGTGCACCGCAAGGTCGGTGGTTCAAATTCATCAGCCGCACCTCGAAAACTCTATGAGCTGAAACTGACTCGATGGCACTTAACAACAACATACAGGGCCAGCAGTTCTAATTTATCAGTCACTCTGCAGGAGAAAGATGAGGCTTTCTGCTCCCAACAAGATTCACAGCTTTGGAGACGCTATAGAGGGTTTCTGAGTTAGAACTGACTTGAAGGTGACAGCAAGGGCAACAGCATAGCATTTATCATCATCTGAGAGAGTCTCTATTTCATTTGTCCATTCTGGTTTGTGTTGGCATGACCCAACTAGAATAACACTACATGAAGGCAAACAGTTTTGTTGGTTTTATATTGTTGGCAGTTAGATCAGTGCCTAAAACATGGCCCTTCATAAATATTGTTCAAATGAAGAAAAAAGACAAGTGGGTAAATGAGAAAAAATGCTTTTAATTTTATATTATTTGTTTTTAGTGTACCTGTTATAGTTGCCAGTGATTATCTCTTCATTTTCACTAGTCCGCTTAGAATTTGATCTATATAATATTTATAGATTTTAAATCAGTGATGTCTACAGCCGTTATTCCTCTCCTTATGAAAGTAGAGATGATTGTTGTAGCACCTCTTCCATTCTGCATATTTTCTCAAAGACAATTGATACCAGGAGGCGATCATCAGGCAGCTGTATTACTTTGTAATAAAATTATTATAAATGTGGAAAGTGAAATTCATTGGAAGTGACTAAAAATATTTTCCTCTATATGTTACACATTTCTTATTTATGTTGACTATCATTTCCACTCTGAAGAGCATTCTCCTTAAAAGAGAGCAAACTGATGTCATTAAATTTAATTAACACCACTTTTTTTTTTTTAACATTAAGATCATCTGCTCCTACCAGAACCACATGATTTGACTCTACTGTTTTCTAATAAAGGTACATTAAAAATTATTTAAACTAACTTTATCAGTTTTTACTAAAGACTACTGTGCTATTGTTTTAAACAATTTCCCTGTTCCCCCCTCCCCATTTCTGTTAATAATATCAGATTATTATAAATACAATTCTTTCCCTCTTCATTTGAATCCTTTATACTTGCATAATCTAACTTGCATCTGTGTTGTTGTTATTGTCGAGTCTGTCTCCAACTCATAACAACCCTGTATAGTGTTTCTGAGGAGCAGTTGGTGAATTTGAACAGTCAACCTTGCGGTTCAAACCGATCTTGTGGTAGAGTACTTATCCTACAGCACCACACCTGGGCTATACCATCTCTTTCCTCATGTGATGTCACAGATTTTACAATTGCTCACTCTGGAGTACAGTTTTGTCTTTTATTTCGATGGTGAAATCTGCTTCCTCACAATCCAGGACAGTATTGTTGTTTTTGTTAGGTGCCATCGAGTCAGAGTGCCCACAGGATAGCAAGTCCCTGTATTCATCCCTGATAAATATACAAGATTGGGTAATCCTTTCAATACCATCAATTCATATTAATCTACTCTTGTTACTCAGATTAAATGCCAGGTAGACGCTCCCAGGTTTAACCTTTTGAGAAATTAAATTGTCACTAACGCAATTATTTAAATTAATCATATGCTGTGTCTTTTTAATAATAGGACATCTAATGTGTTCCTGTGAATACTTATGTCTAGACTTTGTGTCAGCTTTAGAATCTGTTTAAGAAATAAAAATCATCCATACTTTTAAAAATATATTCTGAGCATTTGTCATAATTCTTTTATAAGAAATATCCTGCTATATTGCTTACTTTTGATTCACTCAGTGCTCACCAATGTCTTTTTATAAACACTTTTATGGAGTGCCATGCAAGTAGTCCTGATGTGGTACTATGAGTTAATGCACTGGACTGCAAAATTGGTTTGAACCACAAGGTCAGTGGTTCAAGCTCACCAGTTGCTATGGGTCAGAACTGAGTCGACGACACTCAACAACAACAACAAGGCAAGTACATAGTTTCTTGTAATATGATGATGCTTTTCTTCCATATTTTCAATTTTTTAAAAAATAAACTATGCTTTAAAATTGCCGTGTTCCAGTCAAAATATCTATCCTACAAGTGCATTTGTTATTGTTGTTAAGTGCTGTCAAGCCAGTTCCGACCCATAGTGACCCTGTACAGGGTTTCTGAAGAGCAGCTGGTGGGCTTGAACCACTGACATTGCAGTTCACACCAACTTTGCAGTACAGCGCATTAACCCACAGCACCACACCAAGTTTATGCAGTCCAGTGCATTAACCCAGTGTGCCATGCCAAGTTTATGTTTGTATCTTACTTGTTATCACTATTCCTTCTCTCTCGCTCTGCTTTATAATACATTTTCCTGTTGTTTAACAAATATTAAGTATTTAATCTTTCAACTGCATCTGCCTTATTTGTAAAGAGGAATGAGAATATTGATCTCAGAAGACTATTGTGAAGATTAAATGAGATAATGTGGGCCAAGTCCTTTACCTGACTCTACCTGAAACACAATAAGCCTTCAGTAAACATAGCGCTCAAGGAGCTCTGGTAGTGTAGTGGTTACGAATTAGGCTGCGATCCTTAAGGTCAGCAGTTTGAAACTACCAGCTGTTCCATGGGAGAAAGATGAGGCTTTCTGCTCTCATAAAGATTTACAGCCTCGGAAACCCTGTAAAGGGTTGCTATGAGTGGAATCGATCGACTCCACGGCACATAACCACCATCACCAAACATAGCTCTCATCCATATGAAGTCAAAGACAAATGAGAAGAGACATCCTAGTGCTAAAGGAAAGGAGCTCTGGTAGCGTAGTGGTTACGAATCGGGCTGTGAACCTGAAGGTCAGCAGTTCGAAACTACCAGCCGCTCCGCGGGAGAAAGATGAGGCGATCTGCTCCCGTAAAGATTTACAGCCTCGGAAACCCTATTCAGGGTCGCTATGGGTCGGAACCGACTCGATGGCACTTAACAACAACAACAGTGCTAAAGGAGCTTGTGCTGTCATCCATGCAGTGGTCAGTAATTGCTTACTGCCGTTCCTATTCAATTTGATTATTTCTGTAACCCATAGAAAAACATTTTATGGAAAATGTGCTATTGCATACGATTTTCTTTCACTTTGAGAAAATAACAATTCTAACTGGATAGTTATTCACAAATATGATTGCAAATTCTGTGAGTACAAAACTTTTTGAGTGAATGTTTAAAATCATTTGCAAATTATAAGAGTAGTGATTTTATTCATTCTTCATTTTGTTTTATAAATACCTAATACATTATAAGATTTTCTAAATAAACTTCATGTAAAATTACTGCCATTTTTAAGCCTTTTACCTCTATGCTTGTACTTAGGTTGGCTGAACACATAAAGATTTCTAAACAGAAGAATAAAGAAAACTTAGATTGACTAATAGATTCAAAATGTAATTCTGAGAGTATTTTATTTTCATTTTGTGGTATTAAATATCATTTGATATACTTTCTTATACAAAAGATAAAAATTCATAATACCTAGGTGATGCATTTTCTTATAATTATAAAACTACTTTGACATAGCGATATGTATAAAATTAAGATAATCTGACAATTCACAGAAACTAAACAATACAATCTATGTAAGGATTTTTTTTTTTTAATTGAACTGTGGTTTTCAACCAAATTAACCAGAAAAATTCTTATCATTCTCTTATTTCCTATGGAAATATATAAATGGGCCATATTAATTGAAGGTTTAGTAAATAACTACCCACTTAAATAACTGACTGAATTATTTCACCACACTTTTATTATCTAATGAATAAAACCAAATGTGCATTCATTCATCCATTCACTCAAGAAATACCTGAAACATAGGGTCTTATATCCATTTGAGTTTTCTTTGTAATATTAATGCTCTGCCTGAATGTTTTCTGCTATCACTTTATAACATTACTTGAGAACTCATCCAAAATAATTCTTCAATCTCTTTCCCTCTACTTATCCAAAACATAATTTAAAATTTGTCCTATTATTTATACAAATTAAAATACTTTTCTTCAGTATTGGCAATTCTTTTCATATTTATATAAAGGTCACATAGTGAATTGGCATCAATATTTTAAACATTATAATGATCAGATATATGAGTTTAAAGATATCATTTTTTTTCAGATAGTGATAATTCTTTCCATTTATCCACAAGAAGGGCTTTGACACCTACTAGTTCAAGTGAGCTGACACATTTAAGGCCTCTTTCACTCCATTTAGCTGTTGCATCTGGCTGGCACAAGAATGATGGCAAAGATCTTGACCTTGGAACACTGGTTGAATTAAAGGATTCAAGTGGATGATAGAAGCTGTGGCAGGATTCAAGTGAGGGCTGAACAATGCAGGGATAAATGCCGTGGGAGGCAGTGGCTGAAGTGTTATGTGGGAGGGATGCAAAGGGGCAGCAGTGACTAAATGCATTGGGTGACCTGCTAAGAAAGTGGGATGTGTAGGAATGACGGCTGGAGTCAGAGGTGAAAAAGCGATGGGAGTAAAATGTGTCTGTGAAAGAGGATGCAGATGAGCTATTGGTAGGTGGTTGCTGTGGGAATTCAGGGAGGCAGAAACAGCGAAATGTTGCAGAAATGTGTGGTGGAAGGTGGTTATAGAAGCGTGCTGGTGAACTGGAACTGTCTGTACAGTTGAGGCAGGAGAGAAGGTAGCTGGCCCTGCAGCAGGCAAAACTCGAAGATGCTTTGATAAGAGCTGTTTCTGCATATGCTGTTGGGCTTGTAGCTGGAGGAGCTTGTATTTATCTATTTCATCAGGAGAAAATATTAGAGGCTGTTGAATTAGAGGGGGAGAGATGGATTTATGACACACTTCTAATCCATCTTCTACGTTGTCATGCTTCTCCACAGTTCTGTCATAGCAAGAGTTTATATTCCTCTCTACACAATTCATATGCATGCTTACATCCTGCAGTTCTAGATTTATTTGGTCCTCTTTGGTCTCTGTGGAATTGATAACACCTGTATATCTATTAGATGGTAAAGCACCAGGGAAATCATTTGGTACTGTGTCGCAGCTTTGAATAAAAGGTCGGACTTCACCAATGAAAGGTTGTGATTGTTCTTTTGCTGTTGGATTCTTTATGTTTGGTGACTGAGACTCTGCTACTACATGAATGATACCTTGAGAAAGATGATTATCGCAATCAGCATCCATTAAAACACTAGACTTGCTCATCTGTGAACTCTTAACTTTTTCTTTTTCAGGAGTCCTGAGAACAGCACTGCTTTCATTATTTCTCCTTTTTCTTATGTTCTGTAGTTTTTCAGACTGAGGCAATGCTGGTCTGTTACAGTCTGATGGGACAAACTGAATTGTGCATTGAATTTGTGAATGAAACTCTGATTCATTTTTATAGCTGTTTGAAGAGACCTCAAAAGTGGTTGCTTCCTCGTGACACTTCTTGACTTGTACTCTTTCTAAAAGGCTTTTGGCTGTTAGAGGGATTCTTTCTCTTTCTATCATGTTCAACTCTGTCATTTCAGAAGGGCCACTGGAACAGTTTCTTAGAAGGCGGCCAATAGTCCCAGAGTTGTAGTGCATGGATTTTGCGTTTCCCAGATCACAAATATGAGGGTTGTCCAAAGACTCGTGACTTCTTTCATGTTTGCTTTGGTGACTGAGTTTCTCTCTTGAGTAAGAGCTGGATATGCTGTGCTGAAGTCCCTGGCTATTAGATGACTCTTCACTGCTTCCAGCACAGGAAATCTGTGAACTAGCATCACAATGGATGACTCTCCTGAATTTTGGCCCTGTGAATTGGTGCTGACTTTTGTTCAGTTTATGTGTTTCTCTGCAGTGACCATCTCTATGTTTGGAGTGCTTTTCATTTTGAAATGATGCCCACAATTGGCAGTTCCTATCTCTTTGTGTTTCAGCCTGTGGACAGTCACTCATTACTGTCTCATTAGGTAAAGAGAGGCAGTTGTGCTTTCTGCGTTTCCGTTTGTGCCTTTCAACTGGGTTGTGTTCTCTTTTACAAAAGTAGAGCAAATTACCTCTATTGAAAAGGGTACTGAAGTCCTTTCCATGTTCACTGTGACCCCCTACTGCATAAGAACTAGAATCCCAACTGAATTGATTTCCATCTTCAAATTCTGAATAAGCATCACAGGGGATGAGTTTATGCTTCTTTTTAGTCCTAGACATGTAGGGAGTAAAAGACAGACTCTCATTTGCATTATTTAGAACTACCCTCTGGCAGTTTTGCCAATGGATCCTTGAAGATTCCTTCAATTTGTTATCTCTTTTATTCTTATTTCCAACATAATTCTTTAGTGAGATTTCAAGGTAAGCAGGCACTTTAGGATTTTTCATATCCAAATCACTTGTACTAAAATTATGTCTGTCCATATTTGGCTCAGAATCATTGTAGTCCAAATTATATTTACTTTGGAAATTTTCCCAATCTGTGTTAATTTTAATCATCTTTGGTTTTAGATATTGATTATCTTCATGGATCACTTTTTGTTGGTCTTGGATTAAACCTGAGGATTGACTCTCTCTTTTAGTCTTTCTTTCACACAATCTCTTACTCAATTCTGTTTTTAAGTCTTCTGGGTCATGGCCATCCTTTGTGTTCCGAGAAAGCTTAAAATCAAAATACAATGGATTACAGCCATAGGAGATACAGGGTTGTGTTTTTGTAAAGAGCAAAAGTTCTGTAGGCCACTGAAGATTAGTGTGGCCATCTTTGCTTTGTACATGAAGGAAAGGTAAAGGTTTAGACTTCACATCATGGAGACACGCTTCTCTTATGAGCCTTTTCTCACTTTTGCTAACTCTTTCTGTTTTATTTAAAGATTTATCTCTGTTCTCTATTCTGTGGCTGGGATTCAGATGCACTGTATTTCTTTGTTCACTTGGCTCTGTTGAACGAAACTCATCCAGACATTCAAATATCCTGGCATCACTGTGCTTGTAAATGTTTGGTGGGTTGGAGGAAGCATTTGCTTGGCATGGATGATTAATGTGGTTTTGTGAATCATTCTTCAATGTGTTTTGAGTTTCTTTCTCTCTGCTGGAAGGTGTAAAATCCACATCTGAAAGATGAATGTTAGATTTAGAGAACGAAGCATGAATGCCAATTGGATCTTTTAGTGTCTCATCATTAGAGTCATTTTTGTCCTGCAAAATATTAGAGCTTATGGGGAACTTATAGTCTAAAACACTTTCCAGATGGCTTGATGAAACGTTTACATCTTTTTCCTTAGTGAGGTTTGTATCCTCATTTACAAATGTGCAGCACTGGCATTTCTCTGTAGTATGGTTTATTTTAGAAGTGGGTGACTTGTTACAATCATGTGTTTCTTCTGTGTTCTCACTGAAAACTGATGCAGAAGATTCTAATTTTAGATGTACTTTTTTGGAAAAAGAAAATGATACTCCTGTCCTGTGACTAACATCGCTTGGATCTGGAGATGTTTGTGGAATCCGATTTCCAAACAAATAACGTCTGTCAGTTACTAATTGGTGTCTGTTTGGCATGGCAGACCTTTGTTTTTCAGAAGTATTCCTGGGGAGAGTTTTTCCTTTAAGGGGAAGAGCACTCTTCATGCAAGATGCCTTTCTGCCATTCTTAATTGGGGAAATTTCCTGCTGGAGATGCTTTTCTATAGTAACCCTGGAAGCTTTGTATGCTGGTCCATTTCCAGAAACACTGAAAATACAACAAATATTTAAATGATTAAGACACTGCTTGAAATCTTATATATATGTGAACATTTCATATAATGATACTATTTATGAATCGTATCTACTGTAATATAGTCATTTTAGTGTGCCTATGCAACACACCTTATCTTCATAGTGGCTATTTCTAAAATGAATCATTTAAGTATATTTTTTTTAATTAACAAAACAGAATAGCAGGTGAATCTCTTAACATAGTGTTGCAAAAGAAAACAATACTGCATTTACATCACAATATATATCCTCCAGAGCTATGAATTCTTTGGAATACATATTTCACAGTTTTCACATCAGTACTTTCATATGAAATAAGAAATTAAATTTAATCAAAATGTACTTTCAAAGAACATTGTACAAAGTACAAAGCTTCTTTCATTAACTTTTTGCGTTTGATAATTTTTGATTCCTCAACTTTAAAATTGTCTCATGTTTGTTTAATTTTGGAAAACGGTAGTCTTTCCTTGTGACCTGTCCTTAAGTTGGCTTTAATTTTAATAAATGCATAATAAAGTAACACACATTTACAAGCCATTTGGATAGCTTCTAAATTTTTGAAATCTTTACTTTTTGCTTTCTTTTCACTGAAATATTTTCTTTCTATCTTTTGGGCACCATAGTATCTTAACCTTTCAGCAGCTTTTTTTTAAAGATTCTTTCTTCTACAAAGGTTTATTAGTAATTCAAGCAGAAAGCTAGAAATGTCAACACATATAAAACTCTTTAAAATTATATGGCCCTTTAACGTCTACCTATAACACCTCTAATATGAAAAGAGGACTCCTTAGGGTAAAGGGAATACAAATAGCGTTATTTATCTTATTGTTTGTTTTGAACTGACTTTCCTTTTATTTTCTTCTATGCTTGAATGATCCTTGTTTGCATTTACTATTTATGATCTTATTTTCAAATCATGATCCAGAAATATATTGTTTGAGTAAAAAATACTCTGAAATAGATGAGGTCAGCATGAGTAAGAAGAATCTATTGCCTGCACTGAAGGAAATATACATACATACATATATTTTTTCATTAACAGAGCTACAGTTTGATTTATTTTGGTTTTGTATTTTCTACTAATAATGGTTGGAGCAATGTATAAACAGGGACCTGCCAAAAATTCGAGTCAGACTCGCAAGAGGATGTGGAACTAGGATTATTGTTGGTGACATCAGATGAATCTGATGTAAGAAGAGAATATCAGAAAGATGTTTACATTTGTTTTATTCACTATGCAAAGGCATTCCACTGTGTGGATCATGACAAATTATGGAAAGCATGGTGAACAATGGGTATTCCAGAACACCTAATTGTGTTTATGCAGAACCTTTATATAGTCCAGTTGTTTGAACGGAACAAGGGGACACCGATTGTTTTAAAATTAGGAAAGCTGTGTTCCATAGTTGTATCCTTCCACCATACTTATTCAATCTGTATGCTGAGCATATAATTAGAGAAACTGGTTTATAAGAAGAAGAATACGGTATCAGGATTGCAGGAAGACTCCTTAACAACCTGCATAACAAACAATATGCAGATGATATAACCTTGCTTGCTAGAAGCAAAGAGGCTTTAAAATACTTATTGATGGATATCAAAGAATTCAGTGTTCAATACGGATTGTGCCTCAATGTAAAGAACATGAAAATGTCACAATTAGACCAATAAATAACATCTTGACAAATGGAGCAAGAATTGAAGTTGTCAAAGACTTAATATTGCTTACATCCACAGTCAATGCTCAAGAAAACAACAGACAAAAAATCAACAACATGTGACATTAGGCAAATCTACTACAGGCTATCTCTTTAGACTATACCAACTTTAGGACTAAGGTGAGCCTGACCCAAGCCATTGTATTTTAAATAGCCTCATATGCATGTTAAAGTTGGACTATGAATAAGGAAGCCTGTAGAAGAATTGGTGTATTTGAGTTTAGTGTAGGAGAAGAATATTAAAAGTATCCTGGACTGCTAAAATTTTGAACAAATAAATCTGTCTTGAAAGAATTACACTGACAATGCTTCTTAGAATCAAGGATGGGAAGACTTTGCCTCTTGTACTTTGGACATTTGCCTCTTGTGCTTCAGACATATGGAATCCTAGTGTGGCACTGTGGGTTAATGCGCCAGACTGCAAAGCCATTTGAACTGCAAGGTTGGTGGTTCAAGCTCACCAGCTGCTCCTTGGAAACGCTATATAGGGTCACTGTGGGTCAGAATCAACTTGACAGCACCTAACAACAACAACAATTTTGGACATGCTATTAGGAAGGATCAGTCCCTGGAGAAAGACATCATGTTTGGTAAAGAAGAGGGTCAGTGAATGAGAGAGAGACTCTCAGTGAGATAGGTTGAAATAGTTTCAGCAACAGTGGGATCAAATGCACCAATTATGAATGTGGTCCAAGACTGGGCAGTGTTTCATTGTGCTATGCATAGGATTTCTGTGTTGAAACTAACTCAATGGCACTTAACTACAACAACAACAATTTTCACTAATACTTTTTGGCTACCTTCAAGTTAGCTTTTTTTCCAGTTTATATGCATTTTCTTCTATGATTTTGCTTATTATTGTTTCTTCCCTACCTAAGTTTTGTAGTGGAATTTGTATGTTAAACTTATTGCTTTTCCTGAATATATTTTTATAGGTTTTTAGGTTCATCACAGTACTTCAGTGTCTTTAGTCTTACATTGTAGTTCAGAGAGAAGTTAATTAAATATAATTCCACTTTTTATAACATCCCATCTCTTTACTATGCCTATATGAATTTTAATTTACAATAATTTTAGCCACTGTTTCATCTTTACAGGTTTGAGATTTGCTTCTTTTCAGGAATTAGTAGCTTCAGCTTTCATGATATCAGTGTTCCCTTAAGTCTTGTGGAAACTAATTATATAGATTTTCCAAAACTGCATTATGTTCTTTACAGTAAGTGTTTCATAATGAGAACTTTCTTTTAATTCTCATTCATGACATTGGTATCTGTCTTTTTTTATTTTAAACCAGGTTCTCATGCTCTTTAGAGAGAGGTTTGAAGGCATATTTAATATAAATAGGGAGGAACACTCTAAGATAGTGCATAGGTTATGGAATAGTTCTTTCAAGCATAGAACAAAGTATAAAGTATGGAAGTTTCTTACAATGCTATTGGACATTTAGCTCCTGTAGCTTGAGGATAGTAAAACAAGGTCCCGAAAGTTCTATGAAAAGAATGCACGTGAAAATTGTATGCAGAAAAAAATTCCACTGTCCTAAATATGCACAAAAACGCACCCATAGAAAATTGTTCACACTAAAAAAGTTTCACAGAGAAAAATTCTCATATTCACAATATTATCAAATAATAAACTCTAAATTATGTCCATCTAAAGTGAAGTGCAGGTGTGGAGCTGTGGGCTAATGCGCCAGACTGCAAAGCCATTTGAACTGCAAGGTCAGTGGTTCAAGCTCACCAACTGCTCCTCGGAAACCCTATACAGGGTCGCTATGGGTTGAAACCAACTGGACGGCACTTCACAACAACAACAACAACAAAATGGAGTGCAAGGATGAAAATTTTTATTGAAATAACTGAACTATATGTTTTTAAAGTTATTAAGAAATCCTGGTGTGGTATTGTAGGATAAGCACTGGACTACAAGGAAAATCTGAACCACAAAGTTGGCAGTTCAGACTCACCTTGGAAACCCTGTACAGTGTCACTATGAATTGGAACCTAGCTGATGGCACTTAACAATAACAAAGTTATTCAATTTTTTTGCTCAGATCTACCATCAACACTCATGGAAGTAGCAGTCAATAAATTAAACCACGTAGTACAGTAAGCAAATCTGCTTCAGGAGGCCTCATTAAAGTATTCAAAGACAAAGACGTCAATTTGAGGAATTAAAGGTGCACCTGACCCAAGCCATGGTATTTTCAGTAGCTTCATATGCATGTGAAAGTTGAACAATGACTAAGGAAGACTAAAAGAATTGATGCTTTTGAGTTATGACGTTGGAGAAGATTATTAAAATTACCGTGGAATGCCAGAAAAATCAACAAATCTGTGCTGGAAGAAGTGCAACCATACTGCTCCTTAGAAACCAAGATGGCGAGACTTTGCCTCTCATACTTTGGACCTATTACCAGGAGGTAGCAGTCCCTGGAGAAAGACATCATGCTTGTTAAAGTGTTGTTGTTGTTGTGATGTGCCGTGGAGTTGGTTCCGACTCACAGTGACCCTGTACACGGTTTCTGAGGCTGTAAATCTTTACGGGAGCAGAAAGCCTCATCTTTCTCCTGTGGAACAGCTGGTAGTTTCGAACTGCTGACCCTGAGGTTAGCAGCCCGATTCGTAACCACTACACTATCAGAGCTCCTTTGTTAAAGTGTAGGGTTCTGGGAAAAAAAGATAACCAACGAGATGGACTGGCATAGTGGCAGTTGCAATGGGTTTAAGCTTTACAAAGATTGTGATGCTGACGCGGGACCAGGCTGTGTTTCCTTCTGTTGTGTATAAGGTCACCACCGAGTGGTAACCAACTCAATGACACCTACCAACAACAACATAAAAAATTGAAATACTGAATTAGTACGTTGGAGCGTAATAACATCTTTTCCTTGATGCAATGGGAAAAAGACACTCTGGAGTCACCATACCTCTTAATATCGGCACACCACACACTTGGCACTTGTGCACTGATGACTAGCAGCTAGGTACTTTGTATGTATGAGTATTTTTTGTTGTGAGCAATTTTCCGTGTAGGCATTCTTCTTGCATGTGTTTATGACAGTAGAAATGTTTCTGTGCACAGTTTTGATGTGGGCTTTTTCATGTGTGTTTCTGTTGTTGTTTTCTGTTTTGGGGTCCTTAACAGTTGCAGCACTCAACTTTACCTCAGTGTCAAGAGATTCTTTTTTAATATTTGTAGCCATACCAAGGATTAAGCCGGAGCTGAAACCCTGGTGGCACTGTAGGATAAGCCC